GTAATTATAAACCCTCATTCCATTCCAGTTCAGTTCTATCATTAATAATAATTAAAATCTTAACATCTTTAACACTTCTTTTCAATTAAATATCATACTTCCTTAAAAACACATATAATCTCCATAATTAATTTTTGCCTTATTTCTCTTCACATATGTTTTATAAATCATTAAATATACCTTTTATTAGATTTATTTATTGACAAGCATTCCACTGAATTACAATAGCTATTTTATCAGACATTTTAATCATGCATTGTTTCATATTTTCTAAAATTATTTCTGTTTCTAATATAACCATACTATCTTATGTACCTTTGCAGAATCCCTTTTTCCATTACATTTTCACCCATTATCTCTAAATAGGCCCTGTTTCTCTGTATTTTGTTTCTGTCCTTTATGACTTCTTTTCCTTTCTTTCTTCCCTCTCATCTTCTCCCTCCCCCTTTTATCCCCTTCTCTATTTCTAATTGTCTCTTCTGCATTTCCCTCTTCTGTTGCTTTCTGATTTTATACTTATTTTTCACTATTTTGGGGGGGAGTTGTTTTTCCCAATCTTAAACTTTCCATTCTCTTCCCCCCCCCTTTCCTTTTTTCCCCCCATCTAAGATTACTTGTTCATTAAAGATGTCTTCTTCTTTGTCACAATCTTCTTGTTCTGCAGGCGTTTCTTGTTGTTTCTCATAATTCCAAATCTCCATTTCTAAAAACTGAAATACGAAGCCAAAAGAACCTCTCCCTTCTTGTGCATCTTCTTTGTACTTTGTAAGTTCCATTTTCAGTTCTTCTAAAAGTGGAGCCATTTAAAAAAGTTTTAAACAACCACCCGATTGATTTTAGTCATTCAAAACAATAACTAAGAATCCAGAAATCATCAAGTAATCCAGATAGTCCTGAGTTATATCTTCTTATTTCTTTTTCGACTTTCTCTTCCTGGGGTTTTTGTTGCGATATTTCAGTTACAATGTATCTTTTGGAAATCTTGTTGAGATTGTGCTATAAGTTCTTTTTTAATTCCAAGCAGTCTCCTCCATTCCAGATCCTGCCCTTTTATTCTTCCTCTCTCCTTTCCTATTTTCAAAAGCTTTTAATTATCCAGAAATCTTTATTATCCCTTTGACTTTTTATTTTCAGCATTAAATGCCTATTGATGTCAAAGTGGATTTTTTTCCAATTTCTTACTTAAGTCTCTTAGCTGCCAGTATAGGAAAAGGAGAAAAAAAAACAAATCTTTCCCTATTCTCTCTCCTTCGCAGCTTAAAAATCTTCTTAGGGAACAATGTTATTGTTTTTTAATAGTTTCAATTCCAGGGTACCTTATTTGTTGCTTTTGCTGTTTGACCCAGTCAACCAAAACTTTCTCCTCTTATCTTCCTCCTGCACATTCTTTTCCAGTTGAGTTCTTCTTTGTGGTGGCCATTTCTGACCACCGCTGCAACAGCCTTCAGGAAAGGGAGTAATGTCCAGCTGGGGAGGAGAGATGCAGCTCTCGTCAACCCTGCAGGCAGTCTCCCCCCTCTTCACCACCTCTACGGTGTGGCTTAGCCCCGAAGCCAGCCGGCTTGGGGCGTTCCAGAGGCAAGCATGGATCGAAGCCTCGCAGAGACGAGGTTTCGGTCTGTTGCTGAAGAAGCTCAAACCAGGACTCCTGATACTAACATTTTCCAGTCATTCCACAGGAGTAATATTATCCAAGATTCCCTCAGAGTCAAAAATACACACTGGTTTGTTAGGTGTTTGCCTTCACTACTGCCAAATTGGTAAACAGACTCCAAATGCTTCTGAGGGCCAACAACCTGTTGCAAAGATATCATTGTAGGTTGGCCCAGTGAGATAGTGTCCGAGACCAAAGGGAGTAGCAACAAGCAGGTGGGAACCTCCTTATGACGCAGTTCAACACCTAGTCCAAGGTCATCTTCTATTAGTTGTTCTATTTGTTGTTCCACAGTAATTGAGCAACCACTCCTTTCTTCTTGCCTGTACACCTCTTTTACAGAGTTATTATTTGCAGCATCTATATGAAGAGGAATTTCATCAAAATTCTCAGAAAGAGCATTAATAACATCTGCAACCCGGATAGCAAATTCTATGGGAAGTTTTGCAGCTTTATGTGTGACTTCTAAGAGATCCTTTAGGTCAATCTTTTAATGATGCCCGCTTGTTCTAGCTGTGGCAAAGTACAAAAAGAATTAATCAGACTTGACTCCAGTATCTCAGTACGCTTCCGGATCGGAGGTTGATTTTTCAAGTTGCCACTTCTCAAGGGTGCGGGAGAGATAACATCCTTAGAGTTAACATTGCAATTAGGCTTGCAGAAAGCAGTGCTCTTCTTGCCAATATGAGTTATTAAAGGACTAATACCCTCCTTAGTAAACACACGAGTAGGAAAAATTCCAAATTCACTGAGGAAGGAATTGGATTGTTTAAAAGTCAACAAAATACATTTAAAAGCCCCTCTGGAGGGAAGCCATTCCACCCTCTGCAAATCTACCAGCTGCCTTTCACAGCAAAGAAGCTGGCTAGAGGAAAGAATAGCCGCATTTCTATATCTCCACTTCCCTTTATTCATTTGGTTGTTTAAAATTTGTAAGGTAATCTGATGCCGCTGTAGGTAACAGTTAAAACTTGTGTGCTTTGTATCCAAGACTTCTTGGGAGAGAGAACCTTGTTTAGCATGCACCTCTAGGTGAGGGAGTAGATCACATGACAAGTTTTTTATACTTTTAGCGAAACCCAAGTTAGCGTCCATCTTTGGATCAGCAAACTTAACAGTTGACTCTTTTAATGAGCCCACTTTCTAGCTACAGAATATAGATAAGTCCTGAAATATAAATGCTTTTCACAGGCCACTATCATACGGTATGCATCTACTGTTTTTATATTAAAAGCCCATACATTGGTTAAATATGATGCTAGCTAGGTTCAGGGTATAATAGACTAAAAGCAAAACTTTCTATTTTCCATAAATCACTTCATAGCACCAGCCTGTCAGCATTTTGCAATGGTCTTGTGCTTGACAAATCTTAACAAATCTGCTTTTAGGAATTATTGGATTTTCATTCGAGAGATAATTGCTCATTTTTCCCCTTTTATTTTCCCCTATAATATGTTTCAGAATAAAATTCAGTTGATCGGTAGCGTAGAACTAAAATTAGTCAAAATTAAAGTTGCAGCACTGAATACATTAGGAGGGCAAGAATGAATTGTGCTACACAAAGCTGGATGGCATAATCTATACACATAAAGCAAGCCTAATACAGTTTTGTGTATAAGTGCATATACCCCTCCCCCATCATGTTCATATAGAAAATGTTTTTCAGTTTTTCGCATTTCCTGGTAATCTTCCAGCCCAGGTACTAATCAAGCCCAATCCTGCTTGATAGAAATGTTCTGAATAAATATACAGGTAGTTCTTGACTTACGACCGCAATTGAGCCCCAAATTTGTAACTCATTTTACAACTTTTTTTGGCCCAGTTAAGTGAATCACTGCTGTTGTTAAGTGAATCACATGGTCATTAGGTGAACCTGGGTTTCCCCTTTAACTTTGCTTGCTGGAAGCCAGCTGGGAAGGTTACAAATTGTGATCACATGTTATTAATATATGCCAGTTGCCAGTGCCCAAATTTTGATCACATGACCATGGGGATGCTGCAGCAATCGTAAATATGAAAACCATTTCCCATTTTTCAGTGCTGTTATAATTTCAAGCAGTCACTAAATGAATGGTTACAAGATGAAGATTGTGTGATGACCCAAGGTGGGATCCAAATTAAACACAGTCACAGAAAACAGGTGAAGCCCCTTTTATTCCTTCACTTTGCTTCCAAGCTTTGAATATCCTTGATGAAAGACAAAAACCTCCCACACAAACAGTTACAAGAAGGAGGAAAAAAGCAACACAAACCAGGCAAGATAAGGGCTGGAGGACATCCACAGAAGCAGAACACACACTGGGAAGGACGCCAAACTCAGAGAGGAACCATAAACTAGAGATATTTCCACACTTTGTTTCCAGCGTTTGCCCGTAAGCAAGTCCGTCCTCTTATTTAGTTGTCAGCCCATGCAGAGGATCAAGGCCCTCTCCTTCCAAGTAGACCACATCTCTCCCTTATCCTCTCCTCCCTGCGTGCCCTAGGATGGAGAGGGGATGAGCCTGGGTCCTCCTCTGACTGCTCAGCTGGCCTCTGCCCTTTCCCAGCCTCCTCCACAACCTCCGGAGCTACACTTCCACTCCCTGTTGGCTGTTCCTCCTCTCCCTCAGAGTCAATCTCCACCAGGGGCATGACAGACTGCCTATACCACTGACTAAAAAGTTTTGAGCCAATTTTTTGTTTCCCCAGCAAAACATGGTACTCTTCTTCATAAAGCATTATGATCTGAATGAAAAATAAGAATGAATGAAATATAAATGCATCAAAAGTCCTGGTCAGAAGAGCCAATAGCATGCTATAGAAACTCAACACAGTGGTGATCTCAAATAAGACTTGTACTTCATGTCAGGTCTTCAGTCATGTACTTTTTCCTACCAATTGGTTGGAACTTTATCTTCTGACAAATCTTTCATATATAATGGAGTCATTTTATAAGTGAATATAATTCAGTCAATGTAATTGGCATCAGTTTCTGGTAGTTCTACTGTAAAGTTAGAGAACAGAAGAAAGCACAACATACATTTCATTATATGGACAAACCCTAAAAACTATGATCCTAGTGTATCTTCAGTGTATTATAAAGAGACTGTGGTCTAGACTCTATCTTCCAAGTAATGGCAATTGGATAGCTATTGAGAAAGTTTTTCAAATAAAATGTCAACCTAGTTTAGTGAATAGAATGAATGAGCAAAACCAGGAGTGTCGTAAAGGAGCGATGCATACAAATGCATGTCTTACACTGTGATGCTGTAGTAGCTGATTCTTGCGCTGAACAGGGAATTACACTAGATAGTTACCTTGTTGCTTTACACCACTTATATTCTTTGATTCTACCTTTATTTTTTAGGCTGTGGACATGGATGAAAAAGACTACAGTGAAGCAGATGGGTTATCTGAGAAGACTACCCCCAGCAAGGCCCAAAAATCTCCTCAGAAAATCACAAAAAAGTTCAAGAGTGCCATCTGCAGAGTGACTCTCCTGGACGCCTCAGAGTATGAGTGTGAAGTGGAGGTGAGCACAAGGGCTGTACCACTTGACTTTTTTATTTCCACCCATATATTTATTTGGTTTTCCCACTAAATACGATATAAAAACGGAGTAGCTCTATGGAAAGCATACCTGCTAAAGTCAAGAATATTTTTTAAAAATAGTCATAGATCAGTGTATTAAAACAGATAATACTTTCAACTTTGCCCAAGGCTCTTGCATGCTTAACTCTGCATGCTTAACTCTATCTATGGATGCACATGGAAAGCAGGTGTGAGTGACTCATACATTTTTTTAAGGCAATCTGCTATTTGTAGAGTTTGAAAGAATGAATTGTAGGCAATAAGTGTGTGTGCTTGTATTATTTTTAAAGAGATTCCTAAAGAAAAGGAACAGTATTTGCAGCATTCAGTCAAGAAGATTGAATATTATCAAGTGAATAATATTTTAATATTTATAAAAATTTACAAAGCTTGGTTGGCATGATTAGCCCTTCATTATCTATAGATAAATCCACTTTTCTACAAAGTAAAAGTTCATCAGGTAGTGGTTCATATTTCCATAGATGTTAGAACCATTGTTTCCTATATGGTGAATAGGCAATATGTATTTCTTAGATGATGAAGAAAAAAGGGGCAAATAGTTGAAAATTCTTGATACTTACCCTCCGCTGCAGGAAAGAATATGTCATACATTGGAAAGTCTTTTCTCACTTCTTTTAAAAATGGATAGGTCACAGTCTGTAATGCAGGGAAAGGATAGGAGGGAGAACATACATATTGATTGTCCAGACTCCACAGGGTCTACAACAGTGGGAAGCAGTTTTATTCCTATTTTTAGGAGATACTTCCAATCCTCACTGCAGTTTCCTGAATGGAATGAAATAACTCACCATAGCCAGCTCACTGCAGCCAACTCATCATGGCCAACTTGCTGTGGGACAACTCACTGCAGGACAAATACAAAAATTAAATTAATTTCAATGGAACTATGGCTAATAATAATAATAATAAAATAAAATCAATCCAGAAATACATGAGTTGCAATAATTTTGATGAAAATGTGATCAGCAATAATAAAGTATCTGAATGAAATGATTAATACAGCGTTGAATTGTCCCATGGCAAATTGTCCTGCGATGAGTTGGCTGTGGTGACTTGGCTGTATTGAGTTGGCCATGGTGAGTTGGCCAAGACCCTTCCTGAATGATTACATATAGCTATTGATGGCATTACAACTTATTTGAAGTCACAGATAAATTTTCCTATTAGGGAAGTTACTTGTATGTTGAGTTGTGACTATTATGCTCAAATTGTAAAATGATATTCAGATTTAGCTCTGAAATGCACACATACTTTTTTTAACAGGAACATTTTTGTTTAGTTTTTTTCTTCTGTGTTTTGTTTTTATTTCTCATCATTGGCAAGACTATAAAAAGTGGAAAAATCCAGACAGTTCAAAAGAAATGTGATGGTATGTTTAGAGCCAGAGAGAAGTTAGATTCTAATCTGCTGGACATTCTTCTGTTACCAGTTAAAAGAGCAATCTCTTCTGTCCAGCTGCTGATATTTCTGGAACATCACATTATTCTTTTTCAATAAATCTTGAATAAAGAAATTCTGAAAAAGATTGCTTTCTGTGGATATAGATTAAGATTACCTGATTCTCTCAGTAATTCTTGAAGAGCAGTATAAAATAAATATGTACAAGAATTGCACAGCTCATATCTGAAGGTTGTCAGCAGCTGGAGACTTTTCTTGTTGCAATTTTTCAGATGAACCTGGATTAGGAAGGAAGAGGGAAACTTTCAGGCTCCATATTTTGCAATGAGTTCTTGTACAACCTTTCTCAACAAGGGTATCTTGTATGCACTTCTAGAACTCCCCAGTTAGTGTGACTAGTGGCTTAAAAATTCTTGAGTTTAAAGTCCATGCATCTGGAATGTGCTATGAATAGGAAAGGCTGAACTAATACATGAGATGATAAAATCTGATATACATTGTGTTAGAAGTTGCTGTGATGACCCGGGGCGTGGCACAAAAATAACAAAGTCACCAAAGTAGATAAATTCCCTTTAATGCCTCCAACTTGGCCCCCAATGTCCAGTTATCCTCGGCTGGAGATCAAACTCTTCCAAAAAAAAGTCTACAAAGGGAAGAAATGCAGTCTGAACCCAAAGTAAAGATAATTAGAAATAAAAAACCAACACAAACCACGCTGAAGTAATTAACATGACAGGCCAGGATGATAAATTGCAGAATTCCAAAAGATAATCCAGCACCCATAGTTGGGAGGACGCCTAAATCCAGATAAGCCTTAACAAAGATAATGCACGCTTTGCTTCCAGCAACTTTGCCATGCACAGTTTGCCCTTTTAAACAGTCTTCCCAGCTGCAGCCCATGAAGGGGATCAAGGCCCTTTCCTCTCCTGTAAGCCACTTTGCTCCCTTCTCCATTCCTCCCTGTGTGCCCTAGGATGAAGAAGGGATGGCCCTGGGTCTTCCTCTAAATGCCCAACTGGACTGTGCCCTTCCCCCGTTTCTTCCACAGCCACTGGATCCACACTCCCACTCCCTGTCAGCTGCTCAATCTCCCACTCAGATTGGACTCCAACAAGGGCATGACAGCTGCTTATAATAGCAGAATTGGAAGTCTTTGAATCAGTACATCTCCAAAAGATTCTATGGTTTTGTTTGCTTAGTAAATCTATAAACAGGTAAAGCAAAAATAAATTATACTATCTATTAATTTCTTACATTTATATACTGCCTAATTCCCAGTTGCTCTAGATGTCTATTTAATAATGCTGTTGAGATATCAAACCATGACATTGCAAGAGTTCAATTGCTTCAGACTGGAGGTTTACGTAGCATGGAAGTAGAAGCCCAATGGAAATGTTTCTGCGTGAGAGAAGATGGATAGATGCTTGAAATTACAGAAACATGTCACTGAGTTTCTTCTTTTGCAGATTGTGACATTAACTATGTACAAATGTTGATATTGCCACCTTTTGTTGCTGAAAAATCCAGAAATGGCTTTTTTCAATTAAGTACTTTCTAGTGTGCATCAAGTCTAAATACAGAATATACTGCCAGAATTTCCCTTCAGTGAAATTATCAGGTTTTGATAAATGTATTAATTAATGACCTTGTTCAGAAATGCAGCTATTGAGACACTCTGGAAGGATGCCTTTCAGAGACACATGTAGAATGCCATAACACATAACACATGCCATAAGATGTTCAGTAAGAAAGAGTAGAGAGAAGGAAAGGTAGAATTGGCACAACGGACCAGAAAAAAGGGTTAGGATAGTTTATGTTCTAAGTTGTGCAACACCATTGGAAGGCATGATCTCAAGTTACCCTATTCTACAAGGTTCAGTCTCTTAAGTAAGGGAATCTGTCTGATTTCATTCCTCATGCTACTACCAAAGCTGCCATCTTCTCTGTGTTCCTTAAATCAGGATGATTAATTTTGACATTTGTGCACATTCTTCCATATTAGACAGTGCTAACCAGGCATTCTTTTAGGAGCCTTCCTTGGTGCTTAATTTAGTGCAGGACATATGGAAGTAGAAATATTGCATGTTCCCCATTGAAAGAAAGAAAAAGAAAGAAAGAAAGAAAGAAAGAAAGAAAGAAAGAAAGAAAGAAAGAAAGAAAGAAAGAAAGAAAGAAAGAAAGAAAGAACAAATGATAGGAAAAAACCAACCGGGATTGTGGACATCAGCATGTATACATTATATCTGGAATTGTAGGTTAGCCTGTTTTTCTATACTTGTAGAACGCAGTGTCTATGTGGGGGTGAAAGAAACTGCTTAATCTCATAGTGGCAGCTGCCATGTGAAACTGTTCCCTATTGCAATTTACTGTGTGGAAGGCCCATAAACAGAGACCTTCAAGCAGTTGAATAAGCTTTTTCAGTTGATAGGTTTGAAGGAACAGAGTGATCAATGTCTGTAATACTCTACCTGACTCTGTGGTTTCTTCCCCAAACCCCAAAAACTGTAACCTTAGACTTTCTGCTATTGACCTCACCCCTTTCCTAAGAGGTCTGTAGGGGGCGTGCATACCAACGTGCCTACCGTCCCTTTTCCTATTGTTTCTTTTATTTTTCTTATATGTATCCATGTATTCATAACTATGTTTTTACTTATACCTATTATCCTGTAAGCAACTGACAAACCAAATTAGAAAAAAAAGGAATGAGAAATAGTTTTTATTTCTAGTTCTACTGTTGTTAGTTTTAATGATTTCTCATGTAATGTATGGAATCACTGTCTTGTTTCAAAAGACAGCCCGTTTCTTTTTGCAAAAACAGAAGATATAAAATCTCCATTACGATCTGCCAATGAAAGAGTTGGGTTGCCTAAACATGGTAAATTTGAATTTTACAGGCATTTTTTTTGAGTTTTAGATCTTGCCAATATTTGACTTCTGGGACAACAATTACAAATTGAAGAAGCTACATTTTTTGTAAAGTCAATGACTGTCAGAATGAGGAGCCAGAAAATGGATCAAAGCCTCAAAAAGTCCTCTCCGGATAAAGGGGATCAGCCACAAGTGATCCATAAAGATTCTCCCCATGAGGGAATTATAAAACAATAGTCTCTGGTGGACTTTATAGCTCTGGGAGCTAGGGAAAGTCAGCTTTGGCCAAGCTGTGGTTTGCAAATGGATATTGGGTTTCCCCACTTCCCTTCCTAATCACTTTTAGAAATGGCCTGTTAACTGCCTTTTAGAAATTAAGAACCTCCAGAACAAAAAGTTTCATCAAACCAGGTGATTCTCTTTCAATTCATAGTGAAAAAGATTTCATACAAATTTAAGAACTTAACCGTTTTTTTACTCAGAAATAAACAGCAAAGGGGTGATTAGAATCTTAATTTTGGAAAGTTTTAAATAGAAGAAGAGGCCAGATATTGGAATAAGATTTTGAAACTAATTATTAGAATTCTTTTTGTGGACTGTTTAAAAACCTATTAAAAATATGTGCAGTTTTGAATCTAAGTATGGAGAAATTCC